TCTGCAGAGCGCGAGCAGCTGACCTTTCTTCAGCTGTTCATAACTCATTTTCACCTCTCTCTCTTTTTTGCTATTCTTTTCCCCGAGAAGACTATAAACCTTCACTCTGTGCTTTCCCCCTTCTGTGCTGCTTGCTTTCACTGCAGTTGGCACTAATGGCAATTTACACTGCCATAGAGCTCACACATGCTGCCACCATATATATCATAGGTCAGGGCAACTGCATGCGTATTCCCCCTCAGTGCTCCCTGAAGGCACCCACTCTAGGCTCCCAGCTCCTCAGCCATCACCTCTGTTCAGTAGAGACCCACATCTCTCACTCCTGAGCAGGGTTTTTCCAGGCTGCACAGCCCCCTGCCTACACTGTAATATCCCCAGAAGCCAGACTGACTACACAGGCCAGCATCTGCACTTGGCTTTCTCTCCAAAGGCTATAAATAGTGCAATTGTCAGCAGTTACACATTACCACAGCTCTTCCCAAGTACACACATTCATTCTTATGGTGAAATCATTACAGAGAAAACATGCTGAAAACAATTCAAGAACTTACACACCTGCTCAAAAGCTTACCAGAGATCACCCCAGCTCCAGCCTCAGGCTCTGGTACCTGTCAGTCCTTCAAAACCCACAACTGGGTTTCCCCCAAGTTCATAACTGTCTCAGATTCAGAATCAGAACACCCATGAATAGTTCAGCCTTTTCTTTACACAGCTTGGGCCTTTAATCTTGGCTTCATGGTGTGACTTCTCACTCAGGACACCCAAAACCGCAAGCCACTGTGTTACCACTCTGCCTTAGCAGGAGTGAGCTTCGCTGCTAAACTATGTGTCAATCCCATGACACACCCACCTGTTTGCCTTGCCAGCAAACTCCTCAGCACTCAGCCAGTCCACACCTTGCCTGACAGGTAATAATCAGCGAACCCGAGTTCCCCAGAGACGTCTCCCAGCAGTGCCCAGTCCCTCTCGCTGGACACACACAGAAGTTATCAAGTTTTCTGCCTCCAAAGGGACAGCGTATGCACCAGCCTGTTAGGTTAGCTGAGGACTCACCCTCTACCATTAACACACAGCATCAAGATGGGTTTTATAATAAAACAAACAAAGAACGAGACTTAAGTGATACTAAGCACGAATGAAAGACCGGTATGGTTACAAATAAAACACAACACCCTTTCTAGTGACAAACTTCATTTGAGCACATTACAATCTTTGCCTAAGCAGTTTTCTTATGTTTTAAGCCGTTTTATGTCAAATTACCAGCGTATCTTGCCTTTCAGGTCAAGAGGGTCCAGCTTTCATAAGCTCAAAGGGTCCTATGCCCTATCATCCCCTCAGTGATGGGTCCCTAAAATGTCTCTTTGCCTGCTCCCGCCATATTACCCAAAGTCTGTTGTCCCTGTTTCAAGAGCCAGGAAGTTTTCCTGGGTGCAGATTCTTCCCTACTCCTCTAGCTTGATGGCTTTGTTCAACTTACATGGAAATGTCTTTCTATTGTCCTCTGCCTGTAACCAAGCAGGTCAGACAGGTCCATACACATTCCTTTGTCTAGGGCAGGCTGGGGTCATGCACTGCCTCCCAAATACATTTTAAGAACATATTTCCAGCACACATCTATAATCTTTTTATAGACAGTCTGGACATACACCCTGCAATGCTTTTTTCCTTTGAGAGATACATTGTGACAATAACTTTTTGGAGCAATGAGTGTGTCAGGCCTGATGTCAGTTAAAGTATGGGGGGACCTTCTGCCAGTTGGCACTGAGGCATTCCGGAGGGTGTGTGTGTGTGTGTGTGTGTCACACATGTAACAAGTGATTCATAGACAATTACCTTCTCCTCAGGGCATAGTTTCAGAAGGCTGGGGGTTGTTTGTATAACTGGAGGTTTGGAATTTCATTCACCTCTCCCCAGGTATTCCACAGGAAATCCACTTCACACATATTGTCCCAACAGTCCGAGCTTGTCTGTCACATTTTCAATATAGTCTTTTGAGTCCCCACAGCTTCACAACCTCCCACCCTGACAATCAATCCCGGCTGGCCCATGATAATACATACAACTATTCATTTAATACAGTGGATCCCAAAGATCCTTTAACTCAATTCACTAAGGGCTCCCAAAGCTAGAGCAGAAAAGTCTGTCACAACATGCTTAACAATGTAGTTTTGGAATTTAAAGCAGTTCATGTTTGCAATTATCCTCCACAAGCTTTTCTAGGCTGGTATTTCCTTGCCTGAAGGAAAGAGGGATGGCAGCTACTTGTTTTTAACAGAAAAATATTTTAATGAGATATTGAACTTACGTGTGCACTGCTCTACAGTGACTGTAGGAAAAGTACTATCGGGACTAGAGTCCAATTATGCTCTGGGAGGCCTTATACAGTTAGACACAGATTTGTGGTTAAGGGGTTATACTGGGCTTTCAAATGCCATCCAGAAAGGAAGATTTCCAGTCCACGATCTCAGCTTTACACAAGAAAACAGATTTGTTTATTTTTGAAAACTAGGCCAGGTCGATGAAATTTGCATTGGTAGCTACCATAGGAGACAAATTAGCTTGTGTAATATGAATGACTGTGGGGGATAAAGGATGGTAATTAAGTGCCTAGGTTATAGGAATTTGCTCAGGCAATTCCTGTTGGAAGCTTGTTAGCATCTTCCTTTGGTTTCTCTGGACACATAACTAGACCTCTCAAAAAAATTGCTTAATGGAAAATGAGGCACTTTGCAGAGCCCAGCAGATTGGAATTACAAAAGGGAAGGAGCATGTTCCACATTTGAAAATAAAGTTTTAATAATAAATGTGCATTGCTGCCCTTAGTGGCTCTGGCAGCCAGTTGGATTCGAGAAGATCATTCCTATATTATATTTAAACAACACGTCCAGCTGTTACATATTACATTACTTGTAGAGTTGTTAACCCCATATGGAAGCAGGCTGAAAACCGGTTCACATTCTCATGCACTGGGATTGCACGCGGCCCTACCATTATCTCAGATGGTGTCACATGGTATGTTTACAAAATGGCCACACCCAGCAGAAGACTCAGAAATGTCAATGATGGTTAAAAGCTTAACGGAGCTCTCCCATTGACACTAGCTGAGGATCTGGCCTTTTCATTTTAAAAATGTGTCCGTCATGCCCCAGTTTTCCAGATTTATCAGTTCCCAGGAAGGAATGCTGAATACAGAGAGCCACATGCCAACAAAGGGGTTGGCTCCCTCTTTCAGCCACGCAAGTCAAATCAGGCGCTTCTTCCACTCTTTTCCTGTTCCCAATCCCAGCCGCCTCCCTGACTCCCAATGTGCCTTCCCTTTCTTTGCAGGAAGCAGTCAGTGAGCAGAGGTAGGGGGCCAGGGAGGGAGCGGCAGTGGATAGGAAAGGGGTCTTGAGAGGTGCAGACCCACAATGGGTGGGAATGAGGAGAGGACAGGCTTCTTTATAAAGAATTCTCTTTCCTGCATAAAGCTTTCAAAGCCCAACAGCGGTGCTATCGCAGAGACCCCTTCCTTCTTGCTGGTCTCCCCGATTCCTTGGGAGTCCCCAGCTGTTCCCTCCTCCCTAGGGAGGGAGAAGGTCTTCCTGTCAGAAGAGCAGCAGAGAAAAACAGCAGTGGGAAGAGTTGGGGGGTGGGTATCTCTGGGGCAGCCAGAGGCTGAAGGAGGGAGCAGCTGGAGGCTGAAGGCTATTTTAACTATTCAGCTCTTCTTTGCAGTTTGTAACATGATGTGCCGGCTGTTTGTCACATCCTCTTTCTTCATTTCTATTTCATAGTTTATTCGTGTGGGCAACAAGGCCTTCTGACCTTGGGAAATTCCAGGTTGGTGGCGGAGCAGACAGGCTGGAATTGGTGTAATCCATTTCTAGAGGATAGTGCTGGTGCCCACAGTAAATGGGCTGATCCGTGCCCTCGTGGTGTGAGCTCTGCTGGCCCCTGGGAGAGCCAGGTTTGAGTTCTAATTGCAGCCCTTTGCTCCCAGAGGGTTAGATTGGGAGCCCCTAGCACCTACTTAAACAAATAGTCCCATTGCCCTCAACATGGCAGGGGGACAGAGGCAGCCCAAGCAGGTCAGCTCGCACCTGGCCCCGCTAAAGCCCTTCCGCTAGCTGGGAGTCGCCCTTACTGGTTCCAAAGGGACTTTAATTTTAGCCAGAAGGATGAGATCCTGCAGTGGAAAAATGAAGGCAACCTCGGGGGGATCCTCAGGGCAGCTGTAGAGAAGTAGCAAGGGGGGCAAAAGGGAAAGAATTATTATACATAGCTCAAAACTGGAGGCCTTGCAAACAGCCCACAAGGTCAGAGGAAGAATCTCATGAAAGCGAAGCCCCACGAATACACCTTAGATGTGTCTCTCAAATCCTGCAGAAGCGAGAATCAGAGCCTGGGTCAACTGACTCGGGCTCATGCTACGAGGCTAAAAATAGCAGCGTAGGTGTCCTGGCTTGGGCTGGAGCAAGGAGACCCAGAGGGGGGAAGGATCTCAGAGCCCGGGCTCCAGCCTGAGCAAGAACATCCCCACTGCTATTTTTGGCCCCCTAGCGCAAGCCCTGGGAGCCCCAGTCAGTTGAGCCCAGGCTCTGAGACTTGCTGCGGCAGGTCTTCTTTTGCAGTGTAAACGTACCCCTCCCCCAAAGGGGACGTGGTGTGCAATGTCTGTGCAAGGCTAAGAAAGAGTTGTTAAAATAAATCAGTGCATCAGAGAGTTGCAATAAAGAGAAGGAACCTCCCCTCCCCCCATGAGTTCTGAAGTGCATCTTTTATGGTTACTGAGACTCCTCAGCGGGAGAGTGAAATGAAGCCTGTAGCTCCGCAGGTGTCCATGCCGCACGTTGCTGTTTATGGTCTGTCCTAACAGTGTGCTGCCACCATGCCAGAGGAGAGCTGACCGTGTGAAAACACAGCTTGAATCCACACGCCACAAACACGCCGAGCAAACAAAACCAGTCAATAAAAGCAGCCGGACTTTCCTTGGATTAAACTGCTTGTTTCTCTTGCAGAGTGTCCCTATCATAAACCCCTCGGGTTTGAGTCAGGAGCGCTTCCTTCCGACCAGATAAGCTGCTCCAATTCCGAGCAGTACACTGGCTGGTATACTTCATGGACTGCAAACAAGGCCCGACTTAATGGCCAGGGTTTTGGGTAAGCCTAACCTCCCTGCAAGTGCATCACAATGATGAGTGTTGTGCAGCCATTCAACTGAGCAGGATGCAGAGTTGTAGGGTCTTGATACTAATGTAACAAAGCAAAAAAAAGGGGGAAATGAAGTAAAGCGAGAGGAACAAACTGTGCCTTAAATATTCAGTGGCATTTCCAGCCGCTTACACCAGGGCTGAATCTGGTTCAGAGAATGTTGTATCCCCAAGTCTATTCCTAGTTAATTTTCCAATAAAAAAACTGGAGTCTTAGGGCCAGACTATGGTACCACTGAAGTCACTGGAGTTCTGCCACGGACCAAAATAGTTGGGCTAAGATTTTCAAATATGACCAGTGATTGGGCTCCTCAGTTTCTGGCTGCCTATCCTGAGACACCTTATTTTCAGAAAGTGCTGAGCACCTGCCCACGTTCAGTTGGGCGTTTAAACGTGGAGGTACCACAGATCACTAGTCACTTTTAAAAATTCTTGTCCTTGACCCTTAACGGATCAGTTCCTTTGCATTCCTTCCTTTTCTGACTGATTCCCCCGGGACTAACACCTGTACTGCTTTCTTTGATGTGCCTGTTTCTGACAGGTGTGCATGGCTCTCCAAATTTCAAGACAATGGGCAGTGGCTGCAGATTGACATGAAAGAAGTCAAAGTTATCTCAGGGCTACTCACACAGGGGCGCTGTGATGCGGATGAGTGGATGACAAAATACAGCGTGCAGTACAGGACTGATGAGAATCTGAATTGGATTTACTACAAGGACCAGACAGGAAACAACCGGGTCAGTAGGAGCAGCATTTTGGTGAAAACGGTTTTAAGCTAAATGCAGATTTTGGCTCACAATGGGTGATATCCTATGCAAAACACCAGCACAAACCCTTTGTGCCATTAAATCAAATTAAGTTATGAGAGAGAATATGGGCCAGGCTTTCTTGCACCTGCGCTCTGCTCAAAGCAGGAAGGAAGGGTGTCAGCTAGTAGGTTGCATTCCTTGATCCCAGCGGCTGTTTTGTAACACCCCAGATCTCAGCAATACTAAAAGAAGCTGCCAGGAAGCTCTAATTTATGTCTCTGGTGTGACATATCTGAATGAACCCTCACCCGTGGAGGATTTAGCGTAGCAGAGCTCTGCCTCACCACATCTGGATATGTCCTTTCCCAACCCATCTACCAGCCTACCATAGGGGTGGGCAGCTAGCGCAGGACCCAGATCTGTCACATCTATGCCAGCAGGGAGTTCTCCTCCTACAATGGAATTCTCTGCTGGCCTTATGCAGCCATTTCCTTTGCACTGCTATGGAGAATCCAGCCTGAGAAATCCAACTCATCTATTGCCGGGTAAGGAAAGACTGGGATTATGCTGACTCTTGTCGTGAGCTCTACAAATTTGACCCCGAACCAATTTCTGTTTAGCAAAGCCTTAGCTATAAATATGCAAACTGACCCAATATAAATAAAGAGGCATAAGAAAACACAGAGGAACACCCAAAACAGAGTAAAAAGAAGGGAAACATAAAGGCATGTATCCCTCAAGGGCAGGAACCCCTTGCAGCAGATCTTACTTTAATTACAACAAAAGGAAACCACACAGTGATCCCTTACTACTGGATTGAGAGAGACTACCAGTTCCCTGGGTATTCCCTGTTTTAAGTGCAGAGACTAGTTTGCAAACCGGTAGAATCTTTGGCACCGTAAGGAACTTTTCAAGCATAGCCACAGTCTCTTTTCGAAATCCGACAGCAACGTTATGCTCTTAGAGACGACGTATATCATTTAGTAATACTTTGTCAGCGTTAGATAAGGGCAGTACCATTAGATGAAAGCTGGTGGATTGCAAGTGACTGCACTACAGCGAATAATATTTGAGAGTTTTTGTCAGAGTGACTCCCATAATATAATCATAGTCAGACATAACAGCAGCTAGGGATCGAAAAGAGTCTGAATGGGTCTTATGTGAACCAGGTGTACACAGGATGAGCTCTCTGTAGGGAGTGAAGATCAGGAATTTCACAGAAGCCTGAGGTTATGCTTTCACCATTAACATTTTGGGATTTGTGACGAAAGCTAGTGCAATCTGGTACAATTATAGAAGGCCAAACAGTTTTCTTTTAACGGCAGTACTGGATTCCAAAATTAAGTACAGCAGGACAGGGAAGCCGGCACAATCTTCGAAAGGTGTTGCCCCGCGGTGTTAACCCTGATGCCAGTTGGGCCCCCGAGCACACGGAAGCTAACCTCATTCCCTGTTCAGCTTGCTGCTAGCAGGGGAGCGTGTAGAGTGCTGCACAGATCAGCGCTCATTCAAAACATTGCCTTTGAGAAAAAAGTGGAGCTCAGACTTGTCATTGTTTAAATACACAATCAGTGACACCACTTACCGGAGCTGGCAGTTTGACAAAGCCAGGCCAAATTGCAAAGGGGAACCTGCCCAGTGCGCTGCAGTAGCAGGGCAACAAAGCACAGAATGTGACCTACACCCCCAGTCTGAAGAGGAGATGTCTCACACTCAGGGCCGGCTCTAACTTTTTGGCCACCCCAAGCAAAAAAAAAAAAA